GCACCTGTTTGAACTTGTTATCAATATAAAAGACACCTGTCCACAACCTCAAACAGTCACACTCCAAACTCCACAATGGTGAAGACCAAAGAGATGTCAAAGGACTCCAGAAACAAAATTGTAGACCTGCACCAGGCTTGGAAGACTGAATCTGCAATAGGCAAGCAGCTTGGTGTGAACAAATCAACTGTGGGAGCAATAATTAGAAAATGGAAGACATACAAGACCACTGATAATCTCCCTCAATCTGGGGCTCCACGCAAGATCTCACCCATGGGGTCAAAATGATCACAAGAACGGTGAGCAAAAATCCCAGGACCAAACTGAAAGGGATTTTACACTATACCCTTTCATTAAAACATACTTCCAAAGTATGTGGGCATCGGAACTTGGCCATAGCCTAGTCACGGTAAATATTAGAAATATGAATCAATACTTACCGGGTAGGATGACCCTCCGATCCTGGACTGAGCCCCCAAACTGAAAGGGATTTTACACTATCGACCACTGGCAGGTTTAGGCCGCGTTGGATCCATGAGGTTGCTCCCTGGGAGAAAGAAAAATACACATGCACACCAGGTCTTCCAGAGAGCAATCCTATTTTTTATTCACAATTTCCTCCCTATATACAGTGAGTTGTAACAGGAGAACATGGAAAGAAATGCCCGCAGCGATAAAAGAAGAAAAGAATTAGCACAGGGCAGGCATGACTAGGCCCAGAGTGGGAAGGAAGACGTGTGAGGGTTAATGATTGTATTAGAGTTGGTAAAGGATAGCTGGGGGATCTGGTTGGTAGAGGAGAGTGTAGGTGGGGTCTCCTGCACTTTAGGGTGGGGTGTTCTGGGGAGGGGCGTCAGTTGGGAGCTGGACATGGGAGAGAGAGCTTCCCTCCCGCCCTCCCTGATTGGTGAATGTTGTGTTCCTCCTGGGGGGGGTATTTTGGTTCCTGGGCGGTGGTTGGTCTTTGGAGGCGGTTCTTATCTTGGAGGTACAAAATGGTGTGGGACCCATCGTTGGTATAGTATGCCCGGGAACATTCCAGTTAACCGAGGTTTAACTGGAAGGTGGTGGTGCTGCACTGCGGACGGTATGGTTGTCTCTGAGCTGGTTGGTTGCGGCTGGAGGCCTAGTGAAATATAGTTGTCCGCAGGTGTATTTCGGATCTTTTTGGGGGTGCCTTCAAAGACCAACGACAACTCTTTATGTTTCTGTTATAAGGAATGGTTGATGTGTTTAAACTTGATTTGTTAATAAAAGGCCGTGTTGGACATTTTACTCCAAAATTGGTGTTGTGTTTTCTGTAAGTATAGTAAGTAAAGGGGATTGGTATGGAAGGGTAATGGTGGTGTAGTGGGGTCTGGATGAACCTATCTCGGGTGCATTAGTCATGGAATTTCACTGAGTAATTTGTTAAGGCTATGTACGTGACATCTGTAACAATTCATATCACACAGATCTTGAATCAATTACAATTCATATCGCACAGATCTTGAATCAATTACAAGAAACCAATGGTATTTTCCCTTAAAGCAAAAGTGGTTAACTTTTAACTATATCATAGCAGAAGCAGGTGCTGTTAGTACAAAGAAATAATTGGTTACTTTTCATGCCTTGAGCAAAGCTAGATTTAAAAGATGAGTGGCTGCAGTGCTATAGCACGTAACTAACACACACACACACAACTATACATTTGATTATCTAGACAAAATCTAGAATAGAGAAGCAAAATGGAGTATATATAAAAAATAAACAGAATGTAGGGCGAGGAACATACATTTCCCTTCACACACGGGGGGACCTAGTGAATGACCTGCAGAGAGATGGGACCAACATAACAAAGGCTACAATCATTAACACACTACGCCGCCAGGGACTCAGATCCTGCAGTGCCAGACGTGTCCCCCTGCTTAAGCCAGTACATGTCCGGGCCCATCTGAAGTTTGCTAGAGAGCATTTGGATGATCCAGAAGAGGATTGGGAGAATGTCATATGGTCAGATGAAACCAAAATAGAACTGTTTGGTAGAAACACAACTCGTCGTGTTTGGAGGAGAGAGAATGCTGAGTTGCATCCAAAGAACACCATACCTACTGTGAAGCATGGGGGTGGCAACATCATGCTTTGGGGCTGTTTCTCCGCAAAGGGACCAGGATGACTGATCCATGTACAGGACAGAATGAATGGGGCCATGTATTGTGAGATTTTGAGTGCAAACCTCCTTCCATCAGCAAGGGCATTGAAGATGAAACGTGGCCGGGTCTTCCAAAATGACAATGATCCCAAACATACCACCCGGGCAACGAAGGAGTGGCTTCGTAAGAAGCATTTCAAGGTCCTGGAATGGCCTAGTCAGTCTCCAGATCTCAACCCCATAGAAAACCTTTGGGGGGAGTTGAAAGTCCATGTTGCCCAGCGACAGCTCCAAAACATCACTGCTCTAGAGGAGATCTGCATGGAGGAATGGGCCAACATACCAGCAACAGTGTGTGCCAACCTTGTGAAGACTTACAGGAAACGTTTGACCTCTGTCATTGCCAACAAAGGATATATATAACAAAGTATTGAGATGAACTTTTCATATTGACCAAATACCTATTTTCCACCATAATTTGCAAATAAATTCTTTCCAAATCAGCCAATGTGATTGTCTGGATTTGTTTTCTCATTTTGTCTCTCATAGTTGAGGTCTACCTATGATGCTAATTACAGGTCTCTCTCATCTTTTTAAGTGGGAGAACTTGCACAATTGGTGGCTGACTAAATACTTTTTTGCCCCACTGTAGGCATTTTGCATTTTATGCATTCTCCAGTGCTTTTTACAGTTAATTTTGCATTTTTAGCATGTTTTTACATAGTTTTGTTCAGCTCTTTTTTTTTATTTTGTTAAAGTGGAATTATTTTTGTTGCCGGCCAGAATAAAAATGCCAAACACGGCAAAAACACAACAAAAATGCACCACCATGCATTTCGGCATCTTCTCCATTGAACTCTATTTTAGCAAAAATGCTGCTTTTTGCTTTTTAAAAAAGTTCCCGACCCTTTCCAAAAACGCAGCAGCTCAAACAAGCATAGATGTGAACATGTTCCATAGGAAGTCATGGTAAATGGGCAGCGCAGTGGCTAAACAGTTAGCACTTCCACCTGTTAGTACTAGGGTTGTTGGTTCAAATCCCAACTATAACACCTCCTGCCTGGAGTTTGCATGTTATCCCTGTGCCTGCGAGGGTTTCCTCCAGGTACTCCAGTTTCCTTCCACATTCCAAGACATGCTGGTAGGTTAATTGGTTCCTGTCTAAATTGGCCCTAGTATGTGTATGTAAGTAGGGACCTTAGATTGTACACCCCTTGAGGGTTAGGGACCTTAGATTGTACGCCCCTTGAGGGTTAGGGACCTTAGATTGTACGCTCCTTGAGGGTTAGGGACCTTAGATTGTATGCCACTTGAGGGTTAGGGACCTTAGATTGTACACTCCTTGAGGGTTAGGGACCTTAGATTGTAAACCCCTTGAGGGTTAGGGACCTTAGATTGTACGCCCCTTGAGGGTTAGGGACCTTAAATTGTACACCCCTTGAGGGTTAGGGACCTTAAATTGTACACCCCTTGAGGGTTAGGGACCTTAGATTGTACTCCCCTTGATGGTCAGAGACCTTAGATTGTACACTCCTTGAGGGTTAGGGACCTTAGAGTGTACTCCCCTTGAGGGTTAGGGCCCTTAGATTGTACGCCCCCTTGAGGGTTAGGGACCTTAGATTGTACACCCCTTGAGGGTTAGGGACCTTAGATTGTACACCCCCTTGAGGATTGAATGTACAATATATATGTATATGATGTGAATGTACAATATATATGTATGTGATGTGAATGTACAATATATATGTAAAGGGCTGCATAAATTGACAGTGCTATATAGGTACCTGTAATAAAATAAATTAATGGACTGTAGAGGGTTTCTGCACTGGTGTGCATTTTCTATTGAAACCAATGAAAATGCATGAGAATAAAACTGAATGTACATTTGTGTGTATTGCAATGCACTTTGCATCGATGTGTGTGCCCATGAATGAACAAGCACGAGTTTATTCCTGTTGAAAGTGGAACTTCACTCTCTCAATCGACATTGACTATTTTGAATCTTTCTGCTGCTAACATTAGTAAATAGATAGGAAAGTACAATATATCATGTTTACTTGTTTTAAACTTTTTTTTTTTTTTTTTTACCTCCTTTAGTTACTTTCTGGTTTCCATGCCTAGGTAAATGATGTCATACATCCCAGGAGTCTTCAGGAGGGGAGGAAGGGTTTTCTCAGCTAAGCACACCCTCCTGCCTGCATGCCTGAGCCAAGGACAGGTGGATTCCAGGAAGTAATTGATACATGAATCATCTGCTTTTACTCAGGATGGCCACAGCCAGAAATGCGAGGGGGTGATTTTTTCGCAATATAAAGTACGGAGACATGGGTGGATGGGCGAGTTTGCTTTGAATATTAGAAACAAATTAAACAGCACTTTTGGTTCGTGGTGCTCAGATAGAGTATAGTTCCAGTTTAACCCCTCGCCCTCCAGAGGATTCCCCCCCACTTCCATTTTTTACGTCACGGCGCTGCGTTACTTTAACTGACAATTGTGCGGTCATGCAACTCTGTACATAAATGAAATCTATGTCCTTTTTTTCCCCACGAATTGAGCTTTCTTTCCGTGGTATTTGATCCCCTGTGTATTTTTAATTTTTTTGTGCTATAAAAAAAAAAGACGTACAATTTTGAGAAAAAAAAAAACTATATTTTTGACTTTTTGCTATTAAACATGTCCAATAAAAAATTTAAAAAAAGCTAATTTTGTCATACATTTCGGCCAAAATGTATTCTGCTCCATGTCTTTGCTAAAAAAGAATCCCAATACGTGTAAATTAATTGATTTACGTGAAAGTTATGGCATTTATAAATGGCGGTATAGATACTGGGCTTTTCTTTTTTAAGTTTTTTACTAGTAATGGCGGCGATCAGTGACTTATAGTGGGACTGCGGTGGGCATTCTGACACTGGGGGGAACTGACTTGGTGTCACTGACATCCCCAATGACACCAATACAGTGATCAGTGCTAATGGCACTGGGCAGGAAGGGGTGTCTGTGTGCTTCACTGTAATCAATGGTTAGCACTTCCGCCTGGCAGTACTTGGGTTGTTGGTTCGAATCCCAGCCACGGCACCACCTGCCTGGAGTTTGCATGTTCTCCCTGTTCCTGTGTGGGTTTTCTCCAGGTGCTCCAGTTTCCTCCCACACTCCAAAGACATGCTGGTGGGTTAATTGGATCCTGTCTAAACTGTCCCTAGTATGTATATGGATGAATGTGACTTAGGGACCTTAGATTGTACACCCCTTGAGGGTTAGGGACCTTAGATTGTACACCCCTTGAGGGTTGGGGACTGATGTGAATGTACAATATATATGTGAAATGCTGCGTAAATTGATAGCGCTATATAAGTACCTGAAATAAATAATCACACTGCTGTGCACAGCCATGCAAAGCAGTGTGCATGAGCCAAGAGGGAGGAGAACTGTTTGTTTACATCCTTGACCTGTCTGGTGTGTTCCTTGGCCTTCATGATGCTACTTGTTCACTAATGTTCTCTAACAAGTTTCTGAGGAAGTAAAATTAAAAATCCCAACTTTATTGACAACTAGGTGCGTAGTTTAAAAAATGTGTCTAAATGAAAAAACATGGCCTGAACATACTAAAGTTCATGTCCAGCTTTCCATTTTTTTTTTATTTTAATTTTTTTTTGTAATAATTGACCTTTTCTACATCTCCTTTATCAAAAAAGGTTAGTAAAGCAATACTCCATGTCCTCTTTCATCCTCCAGCTCTCTTTTTCTTCCAGGTTTATGGATGTCATGCAATATTCAGACCACTTTCTGTAAGCCTAGTGTGACGGCAGTGACTTTTGGGGGTGGGGGAACCGCTTGGTCAGCTCATGTCCCCCTCATTATGTTTAACCCACCCTGTGCCTGTTTAAGGGGTACAGGGTGTGTATGTGAATGTCTGAGTCTTGTGTATAGTGTGTGTTCCTTTGTCTAGGCCACATGGCTGTCCATTGTCTGTTTGCCATGTGCTACCCCCCATTGTGCTGTGTCTTCCTGTCCAGCCAACTATTATGGGATGTACTGTTTGTGTATTGGTGTGGGGGTTGGTCAATATCCTTTGCCACATGGCTACATCCCATTGTTCTGTGTCTGGTTGGATGGGGAGGGGTGATGAGGTGTTTCCTGCCTATACTGTAGCCCTTCCCACTGATAGGGTGGGCTGATGATGTGTTTCCTGTCCCTGGTTGTCTTTCCCCGCCCTCTGTATAAAACATGTTGTTTGTGTACAATAAAAGTTGTTGGCTTCCTGTTTTAGTAAGAGCTGGGTGTTGTCTGTTTCCTGAGGGATTTCAGGGTGTGGTCCGTGGATGGTGTCTGGACAGGGGAAGTTGTGCTATAACGGAAAAACTCAGTGCGGTCTGGGTTCCGGTTCCGTTACATTGGTGGCAAGCGGTGGGATTGTGCTTCCAAGCTGTAAACACATCCAAACCACCACCGGGATTCAAGAGCAGGAAAAGACGTCAGTCACCCCAGTGGGGCTATGGACCTGGCATCAGAGTTCTCAGGGCTGCTGCAGATCATCCTTGCAACATACCCCAGGACTGTGTCTACGGATCAGTACCTGGAGCTCAGGCAGCGGATTTGGGAGGTGCTTTGGAGAGGAGCAGTCCAGGCTGCTGGTATGGACAAAGGCAAGTGCTACCCAACCCCAGGGGAGCAGGCCAGGGACCATCGGACGTCACGGATGCCATTCCTGGGAGAGCAACCCCAGGAGCAATGGGTGGCTGAGTTGGACAGACTGGTCCAGCAGGAGATAGAACTGGACAATAGATATCGGGCTCTGCGGTGGTACGCAGAGCAGGAATATTTAGGGGTGTCCACAGAATGCTCTCCTGAGGGACTTGACTTTGGTGGGCCTGGATTGCTGTGGGAGAGCCTTACAGACCTTTTTGTGTTTGGCGATAGAGGAGAACCTACTCTGAAGGAGTTACGAGAAGGCAGAGAGGCTATGTTCGGTCTCACAGGGGTCTCAGAGCTTGAGCCAAATCTGCAATACCTGCTGATGAAAGAACTGCATCTGGAAAGGGCATACAGGCAGCTGCTAGGACATGTTCGGCAGCATGCCCAAGAGTCATCAGTGGAAATTCCAGAGACTGGGGATCTGATAGACCTCTCAGCTGAGGAAGAACCAGCAGTAGACCTGGCAACAGGGCCAAACAGTACTGAACTCTGCCCAGCACTGGTAATGTCTCCTGAGTTCCACGGACAGGAGATGGTGAGCCCCGATCCCCAAACACCAGTTCCAGAGGCTGGGGATTTGATTAATTTTTTTACTGATGAGGAACCAGCCGGGGAGCCGCCAGCTGAAGCGCTGACAACCGCACAGAGGGTCCAGGACCTCTGCCCCATGCCTGTGGTAGTTTCAGAGGCCCAGGGTGAGAAGGGAGAGGAGGTTGTTGTCCTCCCTCCCCCAGAGTCAGCCAGAGTGGAGGAAACTGTTTCCCCTCCCAAGCCAGGATCTGTGCACCAGGGGGACAGTGACAGTGGAATGCCATCCCAGCAGCAGATCCACAGTCTGGGAGGGGAGGAAGTCGGCCTCCCTCCCCCACGGTTAGCCGGAGCAGATGTGGGGTCCCCAGCAGAAGCGCTGGCACCAGGGCAGAGTGCCTCTGGCCTCTGCCTAGCAACTACAGTCACCACTTGGATACCCCAGGGATGCTGGGTAGTCGGCCCAGATCCCCTACAGAAGGATGGAGTCGGCCCAGCCACCCTGTCTTCTCTCCAGCGGCTGAGAGGATTTCCGGGAGAAGGACCAGTCCGTACTTCTCCCCAGCGGCGGGTATGTTCTACGGGAGAGGCAGAGGTTGGCTGGGTGAGTAACGCTTGGTGTGGGACAATTTGCATGGGGTACTGTGTACTGTGTGGGTGCTGGCATTGAGAGACTGGAGGTGCAGAGTAACTTCAGAGTACATCCGTCTGGGATCTACTCCTGCGTTACTCTCCTGCCGAAAGGGGAGATATGTGACGCGAGTGACTTTTGGGGGTGGGGGAACCGCTTGGTCAGCTCATGTCCCCCCTCATTATGTTTAACCCACCCTGTGCCTGTTTAAGGGGTACAGGGTGTGTATGTGAATGTGAATGTCTGAGTCTTGTGTATAGTGTGTGTTCCTTTGTCTAGGCCACATGGCTGTCCATTGTCTGTTTGCGATGTGCTACCCCCCATTGTGCTGTGTCTTCCTGTCCAGCCAACTATTATGGGATGTACTGTTTGTGTATTGGTGTGGGGGTTGGTCAATATCCTTTGCCGCATGGCTGCATCCCATTGTTCTGTGTCTGGTTGGATGGGGAGGGGTGATGAGGTGTTTCCTGCCTATACTGTAGCCCTTCCCACTGATAGGGTGGGCTGATGATGTGTTTCCTGTCCCTGGTTGTCTTTCCCCGCCCTCTGTATAAAACATGTTGTTTGTGTACAATAAAAGTTGTTGGCTTCCTGTTTTAGTAAGAGCTGGGTATTGTCTGTTTCCTGAGGGATTTCAGGGTGTGGTCCATGGATGGTGTTCGGACAGGGGAAGTTGTGCTATAACGGAAAAACTCAGTGCGGTCTGGGTTCCGGTTCCGTTACACCTAGGCAGTCATGGACATACATCATCATGTCAGTCTGGGCTCACAATACGATGCTGTATAGAATTGTGCTAATGTTCTAACAATAAGGTCCATCCACTGCAGTAGGAGAATGAAAAAGGAAGAGGACCATAGTCCACAAATGACTGTCCAGAAGATGCCTAAAAAAAGATATGTGTACTAGAATTTAAAAACATAAAATATCTGAGGATGTAGGCAGGTGCAGTCTATATTCTCCACTGCAGGTGGCACTCATCTGTAGCATCAATGCAGGTGGAGGAGGAAGTCAAGAGGAGCTTCGTTCCCTATGATCATCTCGGTCACAGAGAGGCAGCATCCAATTGGATGCTTGCGTCTTATTTGACTTTGGTGGCCATCTTGGATCAGGCAGGGTCTATTTAGGACCCTGGCTCTCAGGTTTGATTCTGAGAAGTATTGCACACAATCGTGAAATGACATTCATTGTTGCTGTGCTGGTGAGAAAATAAAAAAAAGGGTTTGGTTCCCTAGGGAAACAAATGCACTTTATTTTCAGACAACTTTGAAGTCTATTATGTGCTGCAATGATATACATGCTGCTGTAAGTCAGAAATGATCGGAAAGGGAAGCTATGTAATGACGACAATGGCTCTTGTGTCAGATTATCACAGATGTAATTATAACAGTTCAAAGTTCCCTTTTGATATTCCTCTTTTTGCATGAAAGCTTCTACAGAAACAAGTAGCGTCATTCGGCCTTTATTTAGCTGTATTTATTAAAGTGTCTGGTAGTAGGATAGTCTCTCGTATTGCTGTTCTTTATATTGTCTATGCTGATTCTCATTCTGAAGAGGCTAACTGCTTTTTTTTTTTTTTTTTTTTGATGTGTGGTTCCCCTTAAAATACTTACCAGCCCCTCATCAAGGATAAGGGATCGGTATATATTTTTTAGAGGGGAAGCCCATGCTATTAGGAGAAAGAAAAACAGAAATAGCAAAGTATGCATAATAAAATATATAAAGATGGAACAAGTACGGGAACTTGACACTCATGATGAAGTATACAATATGCAGACCAAAACATATCCGGTGTGACATGTGACAGTAATAATACAATAAAAGTAATGAAATATAAATATTGATCTTGCTACAGAACGTAGCGTCATCTAGAAACCTGGAAGTTATGCAAGACAAAAGTACCTGTAGCTCAAGGCATTCGTTGGCCGAAGGAGACTGAGAAGGGAGAAAGGACCAATGGGTCAAGGAAAAAGGTGTTTATGGAGTCTTCAAATTATGTAGGATGAAACCATTTCTACATGAACATGATTGCCTCAACTCTAGATTTAACCTTTGGCAAGTGTATGTCCAGGGACTTCCAATGGAGTGT